TTAGGGGTCTAGGGGTTTGGGGGCTTCGGTGTTTAGGGCATGCGGAGATCGAATTGTCGGGGTTTTCGAAGTCTCGTCGTAATGACGAGCCTTCACCTCAGCCTGCACCGCAAATTCAGAGATATCCCCGCATTTTGGGATCACAGTACTTAGACTTTGTGTGGTGTAGAGAGAGAGAGAGAGAGAGCTAGAGGCAGAAAGACAGAGAGAAAGAGAGAGATGGAGAAATAGAGAACAAAGAGAGGGATGGAGTGAAGTAAAAGAGAGAGAGAGAGAGAGAGAGAGAGAGACAGAGAGAGAGAGAGAGAAGTTAACTGCAAGACCAGACAAGATCACATGGCACATCGGCTTCATGCACCTGGCGGCACACATCAACACCCTGAGACGCACTGATGGCAAAATGAGTGCAAAATGTGTCAGCATGTAAGAGGTGGTATTGGATTTGCAACTCCGACCATGTTCACTTCTTCAGAGTTTCTCGGAATCTCTCCAGAATGCATGCCGCGCGGACAGCTCGTCATCGACACCTGTGCGGAGGGCCCAGTACGCTTTAGTTGTCCTGTTTTCCTACGTCCTTCGGATCCTTCTCGGCTTCGTCTTGGGTGGGGGATGGGCTTGTGGAAGGGGACTTCCTGAGTTCTCGACCGTTCCGGAAGAGCTCCACGTTGTCTTCCTTCCGGCACGAGTCCCGATGCCACACCGCTGCGTGTGCTCTGCGCATGCTTATTCGCGCAGCTCCTCCGCAGATGCCCGGCAAAGAGTCACCTTGCTCTCTCGCCCCAGCTGGGAGCAGTAGACCTGAAGCCCCGCTCTTCCGTTGCCGTCAGCTCTCCCACACACCGGCGTTGGCAGCTTAAGCTTACTAGGCGTGGGGCAGTCAGCGAGTCGCCGTCTCGCTCGTTCCGGGTCATGGCCAGGATGGTGCCAACGGTGTAGCACCAAGACTGACACGGCGCGGGGAGCGGGGTGGCTCTCTTTCGCATCAACTAACAGATCCTGCCTTCATCGAGCGCAGGTAGATACAGAACACAGCCCGGTCGAGCTGCTCCTGGCACCTTGCAAGGGTTTGCATGCAGCCCCGCAAACTCGCAAACTTTTGTCGCCAAATAGTGTGGCGATGGGAGCCCGAGATTGCGAGACTTGTCTGAACAGGCACCTCCGGGAATTCATCTTCTTCTCGTTGCAGATTTTCACCTGTCAGCTCACAAAGGAAGCCGTGGAATTGGGAGGTTCGGCGTCCGAATCTCAAGGACTTCCCGGCACACCGACCAGGCGGTAAATCTCGAACCCGACCTGCTCCTTGGCTTCGTCGCGAGTCTGAAAGAAGGCAGGTCCCTGCAGATCGCCAGCCGGTCAGCCATGTCGGCTATTGGGCGGGTAGCAGCATGCGAGACTCAAGGGCAGCAGCCTATGCTCGTTTGTGGCTTTCGCTTGCCACGGGTCCCTATGACGTCAGTCAGGATCCGACACAAGGCTCCCTTGCCTCTTCTTCGCCTTCTTCTGCTGGTCCTGGCTACACATGCTTGCAGCATGACTCCGTTACTCTGCCCGACATTCCCAAGAAGCAAAGCTTCCCCACAACTGCGCCGATGCTCTGCCTACGAACACACACGGCATTGCGCTGTCATGGCAATCCCCGATTCCATGCAACACTAGCAGCTGGAACTATCTCTCCTAATTATCCTGCTGTCTTTGACACGATTCTGCCGGCATCCATCGATTGACAAGCAGGCAAAGCATGATGTGCTCTCTCCACAATCCACACATCTCCACCCCGGCCCCCCGCGTTGTGCCGCCTCGAGGCTCCATCTGACGGTCCAAGAGTGCACACAGCACCCTGTGCACCATCACGTCCTGTCGAATAGCTGTGGGAGGCCAAAATCCTGCTCTAAGGCTCCGTCAGGGAGCAAAAGTCAGCCGGAATCAGCCGAGATGCCGGATATCGCCGAATTGGCGAAGTGAAATGCGTGTAGTAGTCCTTGCGCGAATGCTGACTGTCAAGACCACGAACTATGAGACGGGTGTAATGCGCAAATCTCCAGATCTGCCGCCGAGCATCAAAATTCAGCGCAAAGTGATGCGGGCAATGCTCCTGGTGAGCTGCTGAGCACTATCACTATCGTATCGGCCAGAAAAGATCTTCTCAACCCTACGTGGCGCTTTTATTGGTTCACACAAAGTTATCGGCGCCAACGGCCGTCCAGTGTACAAGATCCGAGAGCTGTGGGCTGGAACTCGCATCGCATGCAAAGCCGCCGAGTGACACCCCTGATTCCGCAAGGTACCGTGCCAGAGAAAGCATCATGATTTTGGCAGATCCGATCAGGATGTCTGGGCCGCTGCCTCCTCCTCTTCCTCGACGACACCATACAGGAAGTATTCTGCCTGCCAGAACACATACACCAATGCACCACAAAGCCTTCAGGCTGACTGCGCCTGCTTCATCCCGGCGCGCATGATCATCCTGGCAGCGCGTGAATCCAAGGTCTACATTGAATTCACCAATGCAATCTGACGAGCCCAGACTTGGCCTTGACCGCATCCTAAGGTTTGAATATGCTTGAATCATGTCGCAGCCACATCTCCACACACAGCCCCAGCATCTTGCCATGCTTCTGGTAGATGTCCTGCGTTGCGCACTTCGGCTACTCAAGCCAAGAACTTCTTTTCGGGCAAGACGAACATGTCAAAGTGTGTCTTGCGACTTGTGCGAGCGCATCTTGCTGAGTTGAGCAAAGCTATGAATGGACGCTTTATCCTGTACCGACTTCCCCAACCCTCAGCGAAGATCAATCTCAACACGACCTGATACAAAAAGAAGAATGGCGGAATGTCCTGGCACGACTTGTAGATGGCGAAGGCCGAAGACATGCTGAAGTCCTTTCCCGCGGACACAAGATATCGTCTCTCCTGTACTGCTCTTGTGCTTCTCGAGCTGCATGCTTAAAAGTATGATGACGAAGACCATGATGATCGTACCATCCTGGTAAACCCCGTCACTACCAAGCGAATCCCTGCCTTGATCCCAAGGCGCTCTCGCATGAGCTTTTGGAGCGTTTCCGCCTGCCGGCAGTGGTGCAGTGCAGTTTGGGCGATTTCTTCGGCAGCACATCTCGGGCCTGGGGGTCTGTAGAAATCTTCTACAGCTTCTACTCCGCGATCACTTCGGATCTCTGCAGAAGATTCTTGCAATAGAACTCGCGATGGCACAGTATCCCGAAGGGTGTTCAAGCTCAAACCCAGGAATACACAATGCCGGGCGCCGGCCAGGGAGGTCTGCTTCAAAAGCCTCTGCTGCATGAACTAGTGCGCGAAAACCTTCGCGGCCCTCTGAGCCTCCTGGCCGGCCCCTTTCTCTACGAGTACCCCTAAACCCTAAACCCTAAACCCCATAGTACCCCCCCTTCTCTCCCCGACCTTCTTCAGATCCGGTGGCTTGTGGTTCCGCAGCACGGCCACCTCGGAGAGCTCCGACATGGCCTCGGCCCACGGAGGAGAGACTGGAGCTCAAATAATCATCATCATCATCATAATAATAGTAATAATAATAACAATAATAATAATAGTAGTAGTAGTAATAATAACAATAATAATAACAATAGCAGCTTCTCTCGGATTCCAGGACTCGGGGGAAGCTTCGATGCCATGAAACCTCCCCTCCCGAAACCTCCTGGGCACCTTCGGCTCATTTTTCTGCGTTTTCCGGGTCTGGGCCATCGCGCGAGGCGCTTGGCGACGCACCGGTTGGCCAGAAGCATCAGCTCCTGGGGCCGCGCAGGCTCGCGACACAAAGAGGGTATAGTTTTCTAAGCTAGGGCCCCCTTTTTAGGGTCTTGTTTTTTTAAGGGTGCCGTACTATGTTGGGGGACCTAAAGGGGGACCCTAATTTAGAGAACTACCCAAGAACTGCCTCGGAGGTTCAGCGAAGACATGCATGGAATGTCAGATAATGGGTAGCATATTCAGCACTGTTCTTTCAGGGGTAGGGTCGCAGGCAACGGGGTCGGGGATCCGTGCCCGTCCTCGATGACCCAGTGAGATGCACTGTGAGACTCCAAGTGGTAGCCTGTGGGAATCCCATCCTGCAGCTTGACAGTTGCCATTATTATCATTATTATTATCATCATCAGTATTATTCATTACTATTATTGTTATTCATAATATTGTTACAAAAATACTACAATTCGCATCTTCGCGCTTTCGGGCGAGGAGTCCTCGCTGTCCCTGGTGTGGAAGACCATCTTCCTGAGCGCACGACTGCCTCTCCCGTATCCAAAAAAAAGTGAGAAGCCGAGCCGAGCTTCGTCTTGCTGATCGTCATGGCTCCGCCCGTCAGGCGGCCATGCCGCACCTTTGCGCAACAAAGATGGGGCAGCAGTTGGGAAAGCAGCGCTTAAGAGGTGTCTTTGCTGGCCTTGCCGCAGACTTCGTAGAGCAGCAGGATGTCGTCCTTGATCTGCTGCCTGAGATGATTCGAAGTTCGGTGAGCCGCGGGGATCTCCTGGGCACCGGGCCACGTGTAGCCGCCGTGCACCTTGGCTCGCCCCAAAATGCATAAACTGTCTCATTTGCCTACCTCTCCATCGTTTGGGCGACTCGGAGCAGGGAGCTACTGTGCAATCTCCATGCAACGAAGTTGCCAGCGGCCGGTCTTCCTCCTCAATGTCAAGATCGTCGATGATGTCCTGAGCCTGACAGCTCAAGTGCTGCGACTTCAAGACGGAGCTGTCTGGAGAGAGCTGTGTGCGCATATATACCTGCATACGTGCACATCACTGTAGTATCGAGTGCACACAAAGGCCCGCGCCTGCTCGTAGTTCAGACGACACACGGAGGAGATGGCCGTCTTTGCAAACCAGGGCCTGGCTAAAGCCACCCGCAGGGGAAGTTAGAGGGAAAAAGATGGCGGTGTGAGCTTTCTGTGGCTTGGATAAGAAAGGCGTGCCCACGCAGGGTTCTCGATCAGCTGGCCCGTTCTCTTGCAGAGGCCTCAGCTCGAGCTCGGGAGCCCTCTGAGGCAGAGCAAAAACATCCGAGGCCGAAGCGGAAGAAGGCCGAGAAGGCCAACTTTGGCTCGTTCCTCAGGTGCTGGAGACAGCGCCACAAGGTCCCGAGTGGCGTGAGAGTCCGGAAATGCTTCACAAGCCTCACCTCTGCATGCAAGGTTCGGATTCAGGGAGCAGAGATAGTTGCAGAGGCCATGCGGCAGCATTGGCAACACCTGGGTTCTCAGGCAAGTTTCATCGCGTCAGGTAAGAGAAGCTCCCTTGGGACTCCGAGTCGTCGGCCCGCCCGATGAGGTAGACAGAGGTGGTACGACCTCGGCTGCCAGGATATTCTGAACCTGTCAGCATCCTCCAACGTCGCACGGCAGCCTGAAATCGCAACTTGGGCACGTCGGGCCTCCTCATCCGTAATCGAGCCGAGCCTGTTCCAACATGAGGTGCCAACGGCAAAGTGATACGAGACATGGAAGGGCAGAGTCCTGCTTCGAGCGGCAATATGTACGGAAAGTGTTCTGCTACTGGTCCCGATAGTGATCGGGGAACATATTTGCACTCCGAAGACTACATAAGCTTACAACCGCTGTTCGTAGCATGCTATGTTATACCTCAGAGAGAAACTTCCCCGCAGACACCTACAGCCAGTGTCGCTCCGAAACCTACTGCCGAGCGGCTTCAGGAAGTGAGCGACGTCGGCGATGTGCACTCCCACCTCCCCAGCCGTGCCAGTGGTCTGAAGTATCAATCCTGAACCCTGAGGTCTTTTTGTGTTCAGCTGCAGCCTCGCCTCGATCTGACCCTTGCCCTTCAAGTCCTCCACGTGAATGGCATCATCCAGGTCCTGGAAAACTGGGCCGATCCATGCGCAAGCTCACATCGATACAAAATGACACCTTTAGAGACCTGTGACATCATCTGAAACATGTCTGAGGCTCAGACGAGGCTGAAACTCGACTCTCTCGGAGGGGCCCGTGAGTAAAGAGGCATGAGTCATGAGACAACTCATCGCACATCCTTCGCCGTGGCCGGGTCGATGGTGAAGATCCGCTTCTGTCGCAGATCCATCCTGCCCCCCGAGAGTCGGACCCCTTCCTAGCTCTGGAGTCTGGAGCACAAGAGGAGATGCGGGGCCCTGGGCGCCTGGAAGCAGCCTCCGACTCGAAGTCTCGCTGGGCCGCCTGGACGATCTGGTCCACCTGAGGCTGAGAGGCGCTGGTTTTTCTTTGGCAGCGAAGGATCGTAGACGGACCTGGCTTTAGGACGCTCCTTCTGCACTCCTTGCTCCTTGTCTCTGCTTGGCTACATGGAGCTCTGAGACCTATGGCCATGCTCGATGCCTGGGACGGGACTTGCAAACGCTGCACTATCTCCAAAACATCACGAAGTCTCTGAAGGATCGCTATTCCTGCTTTGATCATGGTGGCGACAGTTGGTGATGGTATTGACGTTCATGGCGATAATAAGTGATGAAGATGTCCACTTGAAGATTGAAGAAGATTGTGTATGACGCGGAACACTTCTTCTTTCTCACTGTTGGTATCAGCGTTGCGGCGATTGCTGCGATTCCCGCTAATGCTGCGACCCCGGCGACGATGACAACAACGACAAGTCGTGCTCCCCTGCGAGCGGTTCTTGACTGAAGCCTCTGACTGGCGGAAGCATAGAAACCCCAAAAAGCAGTTCAGAACATCCCCTCAGAGTCCCGACGTCAATCGTTAGTCTGATCAACCTTTGTTCCCTCCAGAACCTCATCAAGCTCTTCCTCGCAGAAGTCGACATCGTGGCTGTCGAGTTCGTTCGCAATCAGGGCCTCATCAAGCAGGCTGCGGCCTCTGAAAGTGCAGCTTGCTTTGGAAACAGAGAGTGCCAAGTAGGCCCTGTGTGTCTAGGGATTCGCGCATGGCGCTCCTCCGCTTCCAGGCTGCCGGCCTGGCAAATCATAAGGTGTGATGCCATATCTCATATGTACGTGTGTGTGTGTGTGTGCGCGGAAGAGATGTGCGGAGGTACGTTCACACGCAAAGACAAGTTTGCAGGAAACAGAGTATCCTTCTTCGGTACTGTCTTCATCACGGTTTGGATGAAGGCAGCACAGCACGTCACATTCACAGCAGTATGTTGCACTGTGAGATCCACACTGAACCTGAACAAACAGATATTTCCGGTAAGATTCAGCATGCTTCAGCTGTCGCAAAGCTCTCATCCCTTGTGGGCTCAAGCAAAGAGACAACCAGCCAAAGATATCTCATCATCCGAACCTTGGACGTTGATATCTACAGCAATGTTGTACCACAAAGACATACGCCAAGAAGCCCGGTCATGCTTGGCATAAGCAAAGACAAGCAGCAATGCGTACCGGTCATTGCTTGCTTGCTTGCTTGGCTGGCTGGCTGGTTGATTGATTGACTGACTGACACATTGATTGACGGTTTGATTGATTGATTGATTGATTCACCTTGGCTGCGAGCACCCTTGCCTTTGCAAGGAACTGAAAGCTGCTAGGCGACTACGCAGCAATGAGTACCGGTTCAACAACGCACGTCTGTCACACACAGGCCCTTCGCACGACTCCTCTCTGCCGGAACGGACCAACACCGCCAACCTAACTCCGACCTCTCAAACGCCCAGCCGGGCCCACCCGGCCCAGACAGCTGCCCTGCAGGCGGCAAAGCGGATGCCTGGCTGAAACTCCGGAGTATTCCCATGGTAACATGGTATGCCTGATTCGTGCTGGACCGAGACGCCATGCGAAACCGGACGTGAGCTGGGCGCATGGCTTGCTGGTCTCGTTCCACACTTGGATCTGCATGGGCCACAGCCTACGATACATGTGCATCAGACGTCTGGCTGCAAGTCTCGGAAATTGTGATGCGCGGCATCGCAGTCCGTACCCGGGTCCCCCTGCTGAAAGCGATCCAGCTTCCCCGGCAGCCGCAGGGCCTCCACATGTCGCATGTCTTGCCACACGGCTGGAAAGCCAAACGACCGCAAGACCGGGCGGCTCGAGGTGATGCATGTGGATCCCAGCCGCTGCAAACTAAGCTTGCGCATGTACAAGTGTTACAAGTACCTAGCTGTTTCCCGCTGGTAACAAAGGCGAGGCTGCAAGACTTTGCACATTGACTTCGATTCGCGAAATGCGCTCCAAACATCCCCAAACTCCCTACTCGTCCTCTAGCCCGCCGAAGTTCAGCTGCAAAAGATGACAACATGACTGCGCAGACAGAATCGCGCAAGGATGAAGAGGATTAAACGCAGGCAGCAGTACACGTCCTCGTTCCCAATATTATCATCATCCTCATCATCTTAACACCGTCAGCAGCAGCAGCCCGCGCATCTAACACCCTGCTCTCATCATCACTATCATAGTCATAGTCGTGCCACACAATGGCACACGATCACTGTCTTCGTCTTCAATATGGGCACTAGAGGCACGAGCAACATCCACAAAGGTCAAAACGGAGAGAGTAACAAACCCCTCGCGCCAATCAGAAACGAAACGAGTGCTCTTCACACGGATGGCCTTGGTGGTGACGTTGTTAATCTGGAGTAGCATGGTCGGTAATCGCTTGTCTGTCGGCACTGCCCGGATAAAGCGGTCGTCCTGCGTGGACAACAATCCAAATCCCTCCCTGTCTTTCATGCATCCACTTCTTCTACCTCTGGACTTGAGGAGGCAGGGCGGACAGCCCCCCTCACGGGCAGCGCCCAGGTGTTTGTTGGCAAAAATAGCCATATTGCCACACTACAGAGCTCAGCAGGTGCTCCAGGTGCACGTGCACGGCACCGGCACAGGCTGTCACAGTCCGTATACTAGACTGTGACCTTCAGAGGATCCCATAGACAACCTCGCCTTTGCAGCCTTGTATGAAGGGCGCTGTGTTCACTCAGACTCTTTCCCTTCCTGCTGCGGAAAACCCTCCGAAAGAGCTTTTAGGACACGGAGCCGCAAGACCCTCCCTGCAGTTTGGGGCGTCCTTCAGGACCTCGCCTGTCGAATCCTGGCCCAGGATGTCAACTGGTAAGCTTGATAAACTGCGATATTATATGTATTATCTGTACTGGGCTCGAACAAGCTAGAATACTCATCGAGTGCGCGAGCTCCAAACGATGCACTGGTCTTTTCCTGCCATTTCCCGCCATGCTCACCGACTTCCTCAATCTTCATCTGCGCAATCTGATCTCTTTGTTACTATGCACCGGATCGTAACGCTCCACGAACCGTTGAGCTGCATCAGGAAGCTTCACAACTCGAATCCTGATCCACACCTCACGGCCGCACCTTCTCTGGTGTTCTTTGAGGCACCAAAGCCGCCGGTTGTCGTTCGAAAATAAATTCCCGCTCTTGCTCACAGCCTCGAGACACAAGAAACCGGATGTCAACGGATCGTGCCTTCCTTCCGCCAGCTCCTCAACTAACTGCTGTAAACTGCGCCCATCCCTGAAGTACTTGCCACAACTGTCCTGCGTGTAAAGCACCTCATCGACAGGAATTTGTAAAATGCTCTGCTTGCCTACAGCTCCATCATCAGAATCCGGACGACGGCAGGAAGGAGTTGCGGGTGCATGCAATTTCTGGTTTGGTACATCGTCCTCCGGCCGTGCACAGGGGTATGGCCTCGCAACAAGCCTTCTGGCTTGCTGGGCAGCTACACGCTCCTCTGCCGCAGCAAGCCTGTCGTTCTCATTGGACATCCCGATCGGCTCTTTCGCCTCCTCCGCCTTCTTTGGAGGAGGTGGGCCAACATGGCCCACCAGCTGCAACGTTGGCAGAAACGTCTTCACATCCGGGCTTACAGCTTCTGGTCGAACTCCAGCGACCCCTTCCCTCACCGCAAGCACTAGTGCTGCCTTGACTGCACGTTCCCGCTTCATCGTGTTTGATCCAATGCCTACGACTCTCAAGCCCCTCAGCGGTCCGACGGTGACGACTGCAACATCAAAGCAGTGGCGCTCGCGATTGCGAGGATCGGCTTGCAGCAAACCTTCCAAGAGCTCCTTCGGGACCTTGTGGGCGCGGCTGCCAAAGCTGGCACTCTGAACGTTCAGCGCGTCCTGCACATGGCGCCCAAGAACGCATTGCGCTTTTCTGCTTGCTTTGCTGAACACCTCCGACTTTGGATCGTCACATGCCACTGCAACGATCTGCTGGTTGGCATCGCCACAAGGTACCAGCCAAGCCGACATGGCACGAGCTAGAACTGCTAGAAGGAGAGATGGTACTGACTGGTGTTGTGATTCTGCATTGCTGCGTGTGCTATGATCTATTGGAAACAGGCGATGAATTTCAAAAGGACCCTGCGGCAGCCTGGGGGAACACGGCTGTTTTAAGAAGCTCTCGAGCTTCAAGTCCCTGCGGGCCAAGCACCGGAACAGCGTCCTGTGTCTCGAAGTGGCAGGCATGTGTCGGGCATCGGCAAAGGAAAAACAATAGGCGCCCTGTCGAGCATGTACAACGCCGCACGAACTGCAAGTAACCGCGGACGGGGACTGACGCGTCCCCGACAGCGCAGCTGGGCATTGGCGCAAAGAGCCTTCTTGTCCCGGTCTGGGTGCAGCGTGCACACGATGACCTGGCTACTGCAAGCTCTGCGACTTGATACATGAAGCAGACAACGGGACACTGCAGGAGGAGGCAAAACTGACGACAGACTGACGAGCGTGATGACAAACAAACAGGCTTCCCGAGCCGCGCGCCCGACCCTGCCCTTTCTTCTCTGCGATGGCGACGACCTCGATCCAGAGGCAGGCGCTTGGCTGCGAAGCCCCGACGACTCCGACAAGAAATCCGCGTCCCAACTCTGCAACCCTCGCCATGCCTTCCAAAAGCTTGCATCAAGCACTCCAAAGAGAGCCTCAAGCCTTCGAGCTTTCGCCTCCCACCGGGCCTTCGCCATCTGTACTTCCTGCTCGGAGGACTTGGGGGCAGCTCGGGCTGCTCCTGCGGCGTTTCTGCCCTTTCCGGCTTGGGCACGTGTAGGAGGGCGTCCAGTGCAGAGAGCTTTACGGTGTATCTTGAGTCTACTTGAAGCGGTGCTCTCGGGCTCAGGACCTTCGTCCGGGTCAGTCCTGCGAGATGCGGCTTGTTCAGCACAATCTCCTCCTCCTGCATGGAACGAAGAACGGATCGCAACCCGTGCTCGGGACTCTGTGGCTAAGTAGGGCTCAGAGCTTCGGCGGTTCCCGGAGCTTTCGAAGTTGGACCGGGAGCATCACAATTACAGCAGCTTGCGTTCGCTGCGAGAAATCTACCGACTTCCGAAGTCTTGTATCAGACAACCAGACATCTGCACCACCAGGATGCTGGCAAACAACACCCCCCAATGTTTTCGGAATTTCGGGAGCTGTGCCTCAGAGTCGGAGCAAGGTATGGCCGCGGGCGGCGCCTCCTCCTCGGAAGAGGACTCCTGGAAAAAGAGGCCGCGAGAAGAGGTGGTTGGTAAAGCGCAGCAGCTAAGCTCTCCTCCTGGCGACCGTACATGATGGGCTGGACCTTGCAGTGAGAGACGGGCAACTGTATATGAGCCACCATCCCACTGGCTTCCCGCCATTCCCCTTGTGATGCAGAGCAGCAATTACCACGTCCCCGTGGACGGCCCGGTTCCGGTGCTGCGAGCCGCGAACCTTAAAAAGGGTGCGAAAGAGAGAACCCCAGAAGGTCTGAAAATCCCAAGGCCCAAGGCGATCTGAAAATGCCAAGCTGTCTTATCCGCTCGTGCATCACATGCATGCCGCAGACAGGCAGCCAGACAGACCGACAGAGAGACAGACAGGCAGGCAGGCAGGCAGGCAGGCAAACAGGCAAACAGACAGACAGACAGACAGACAGACAGACAGACAGGCAGACACACAGGCAGACAGAGTGACAGAGTGACAGTGACAGAGAGACAGACGGATAGACACAGAAACAGACAGAGAGACCAACAGAGACACAGACAAACAAACAGCCGTGCTGATTCTAATATGCATAGCCCTCGTTAAACACGAGGAAGGGAAGGAGGGCCGATGGGGAAAGGGTGGGTAGAAACGCATAGACGGATGGTGAGGTGCTGGCCACCAGGTCCCGGTCGTCACTTCTGGCACCCTCTGGCCGCACAAAGGCGATACCTCTCGTGATCGGCAAAAGACCAGGGTCTGTGATCCCAAAGGGCCGAGCCCACAAAATCGGGCCGGGCTCACTGAGCTTTGATCCGCTGACTCTCAAGATGCCGCGGATGAGAGCCTCGGGGGCTTGGCATCAGAGACAACTCGGCCCACGCCGTTGAGACTCAGCGCAGCACCCCCGTGGCCAGGCCTCCGCACATCTCTCTCACACGTTCACTCTCTTCAGCTCGCAGCGCGCTTGCAAAAGATCGTCTGCAGCATGGGTAGACAAGTATATACACACACACATGCAGTTAGCTTACCTTGCACTGGTGTTCTTCTGGCACTTCGGGCTCCAGGCCTGCTTCTATGGTGTCCTGGTCCAGGTGTGCGTCGAAGACTTTGCGTCGACCTCCGTACTGGTCATGGCCACAGGAGCCGTGAAGCAGCGCTCCGCTTGGGCCCCGTGCCCTTGGCCGCCGTGGAAGGAGCAGCCGCCGAAGTCCCGGCAATGCAGGCACCTTCCGGAGTCGTCTACATAGCCACCGGACACCCAACAGCATGTAAGTCCTGAAAGGTAGCAAGACCCACCAAGACCCGGCCCTGGGACTTGTTCCGGCGGTAGATAGAAGCGCCAATATCCACGATGTGTTACAGCCGACATTTACTAGGACAGAACCCCGAAGACCCCATCAATACGATTCGTTACGGCAAACCTAATGCTCAGGGCAAGTGGACGCCTGGGCCTGAAGCTAGCGGTGCCGCTTGGTCGTGGTCCTGGATACTTTAGGCTTCCTCTCGGAAAGGTTCGCCCACCCACGTCTCACATCAGGACTAAGATCGCTCCCTGTGTCTTCGCTCACATATACCATTGTACCGACTACTGCATGCCGTTGTATGTGGCATACATTGGCATACATACATACTGAATGACTTACTTACTTACATGCATACATACATACATACATACATACAAACATACATACATACTCGATGATGAATATTCCTTTTTTCCGGAAATGGCCTTCTTCGCAGATCTTTGCTTTCTTTTCTTTTCGGGGGACCTCCTCAGGTCCTCTCGTGCTCCTACCCTGCCCGGGCGCAGAGTCGCCGGAGTCCCCTTGCACACATCGAACGTTGGCTCTGGGTGTGCTGAGGCATGGTGCGAGAAAGGCCTTGAAACTGCATGCCTGCGGAGCGATAGCATGGTTGCTTGTAAGTTGTAAGTCTTGCATGCCCCAAGTCTATTCCGTCACAACTTTCGCGGATTTGTGTTTCTTTGTGTGGACTCATCGCGAATCTTTTGCGGACACATTGCTTTGCATCTGAAGGACGGTACGGTTTTAAAGAAACGAAGACACGGATGCTCGCATACATACATGAGAACATGATATACATGCATCCGTGCATGAATGCGCACAGGCACAGAAGGTTCCTCCTCACTCTGTGGAGGAGCCAGAGTGGCGGTAGCCATGTAGCCCTCCGCCTGGGACATCTGGCAGGCAGACATATGCACAGACCGACGAGAGAGTGTGGGTGTTCCGCATCAGCTCGCCGGAACCATCTGGCTAAGTGGTGACCTTTCGGCTCAATTGTCTGTGCTAAGGACGGCACCATGTCGCTCCAAGCGGCTCCGCACAGCTGCTTTGGAACCAAGTGGTTGTGCTCAGTGTTTGAGAAAACTTGAGAGCCATACACAGACGTGAAGGTTAAAGACGCAGTGCATGCCATCCGTTCTTGGCGTTGCTGCTTGCAGGTAACTAAACTGATGGCGAGCTGAGTTCAGGTACCCGTGCACAGTGTTGCCTGCCCTTGCTTGCACCAGCGCTCCCCTTCCTGCTTGATTTAAGAGGCTGCCCAAGCAACTCGGGAAAAAGCACGGGAGGATCACTGCTCAAAGTGTGCAATGCTGAGGAAGTGCCAAAAAGCAGCTTCGGCGCTCGCGCAGATTGTTTTAACAAATTGCAAGGTTCTGGTGAGGGTGGTCGTTTTCCACCATCTCGACCTGCACTCGCGGAAACGAGCTGGCAACATGATGACCAGGACACAAAGCAGACTGCTGATGCTCAAACTCGTAGCACAGGTTTACAAGAAGAGGAGCTCCAAGGACCGAGGAGACCAGGACCGCCAGGATGCATCGCATCCCCAAGTCTGTGACGGAGCTTGGCCTTGATCGTGTTGCCGGCGAACGTTGCGCCGTCCATCTTGTTTTGGCACGCCTCGCTGCAGTTTTCCCGGAGAGGAGCTCCCCGGGCTTCTTTGGGTCAACACGGCGGCTCCACTCACTCCGTCATCCCGCAGAAGCATTCCTCTAAATAATTAGAATAGGGCTTTTGGAGGGTATATTATCACCCTAAACCCTGAACCCTAAACCCTAATTGCAGGCTTCTTGCCTCTGGACGGCTTCTAAGCTCACCGGACCGCTTGGACTGAGCCGGAACCTCGGCTGCTTGCTCCGTGGCGAAGCGGACCCAGACCTCGTGTGAAGCAAACTCCGTTGGGGTTAGGTTTTTTTGTTTTATGGGCCCTTTTCCAACTGCAGAGGGTTTAGGGTTTAGGGTTTCATGCCTGTTCTGTTGGGGTTTCCAGGGCGTTTGGTAACATGGATGACGCGTCTTCTCTGTCATGACATCAAACCGTGAGTTCTTTGGTGAGAGCAGACATGACACTCCACTCGCTGTACGTGCGCAGGCAGAGCCCCAAAGCACCAGTCTTCCGCTGGCTCACGCTGCCCACGCTTTTAACCGACAACAACGATTAAGAAGCTTGGTCGATCATCGAGGTCTACCAAGGCGGACTGCCGCGACCCGAGCCCCTTCGCGAGACAACTTGGTGCTGCGCTCGGGCGTGGACGCCGCCGCAGTCCGGGAAGCAGTCTGGCGAGCTGTGGAAGAGCCATGCAACGATGCAGGGAGCTCACCCGATGTCCGTGGGATAGTGTCTCTCACTAGGAGCCTTGCTCTGCTTCCAAAATTGTGGAACCCACTTCGAGTTCGAGCTGCTTGTCGATCATGTCTGTCTTTGTTCTCGAGACCTATATCTGAGAAGAAATTTGCTTCCACAGCTTCCACATCTGAGGCTGCCGCGTAGAACTTCACCAAACCGCGAACATGCCTACCGGGTCAGATCGAGTGAGTGGCATTGTGGGTTTCAGCTTGGAAGCTGCTTAGAAGTCACCCACGATACATCGCAATGCGTAAGTGTGGAAAGCTCGACTATACATCTTTCCAAACCATGCCTGCATGGCTCCTTCAAAGCGACATGCATATTCCCCCGTGCCTGCAAGATGCTGGAAGCCATATCCTGTTGCCATGGCGGTGCGAAGATGAGAAGTGTCACACTGAGGGCCCTTCTCTTGCAATCTTGTTGAGAGCGCCAGGGCCAGGGCTCCTGGAACTTGATAGCAGGGCAATCCCCTGTTCCACTTCGATTCTTGGCGCGCCAACTGAAGCACCAACCCTCCCGCAAAGCCCTAACAAAAACAAGCGAGCACATCACCTTCTCAGTGCAACCCTGGAGCTTCACAGTCGCATGGGCAGTCATGCGCTAAAGGGCACAGCGGCCTCGAAAAAGCTCGGCCAGCTGACATAGTCGACAAGGCTCATGTCGCAAAGCCTGCAACATGAATTCGGGCCAGCGAAAACAACCGATTGTTAAATTCCAGGCGTTCCTGTAGCACTAGCTCGTGGCGCACTCTTCGAAAGGCCTGTTCGTGTCTTACAACATCCATGTACCAGCCTATCACAAGTGTCTCATCTCTGTGCTCTGTCGCCCGGAAATAGGGCGGGGCGAGGCGCCCGAGGCCCGAGCCCGCTGAGCAAGATCGTGTAGCCCATCTGCGATGCGAGGGCTTTGGAGCATGCTCTCGTGGAGCTATACCGGGAGTGGGGGGGGGGTATATTAGCGTGTAGTTATAAAGGGGTACTCCGACCCCCTGAGATGTTCAGGATGTGCGAAAAGGCGCAGCGAGGCAGAGAACTGCAGTGCAATGTGCCAGTGTGGTGACACCATACCACATGGCGCCGTGATACGCGACGTCACACCACCTGCATTCCACGACGCACCACACCACCCCGTGCAGTCAAACAGGTAACGCCCTGAAGTCTAGCCCGTAAAGTCATCCAACGCGGTGTGATTTTCAGAGGTAGCGTTACGTGGCAAACTTACCTTACTGCCGTACAGCACATGTTGTATGCGTCTCGTTGTGTCAATTTTGCTGAATATCGTCGATTACCTTCATGGCCTGTTACAGCATGGCAGGCTGGCATGATGGCTTGTGACGTGATAGTCATGATGTGCTCTCATACTGCTCAGCTGCGGAGGCTGTCAGCCCTGCAGGCGAGCCTTGCGAAACGCGTCCCTGAATTTTTCCTCACAGGATCTCGCGGCAGCAGGTCAATTCGGGAAGACTCCCCTGAAGGACTCAACGACGCCCATGCTAGCAATAGCAGTTGCATCCTGTACATCCTCTGGCTTCGCTTCGGGGTCGAACACTTCCGCAGCGTCGCCAAAGTCTACCTCCTCATCTTCCTTCAGCAAGGCTCAATCAGCAAGGCTCAAGCCTGCAGCCCGGGGCAACTCAGCAGTTTTGCTTACAGCCTGAGCCTGAGACCCCGGCCACAGCCGAAGGCTCCTGCAAAGATAACTGCTCGCTATGAAAACGCCGTGCCCCTAGACCTGCGGCACCGGTCCTCCAGACCTTGCAGCTCGCTGTCCTCTGCCTGGCAACGTCTGTCCGAGATGCCAACATCCATCGACTGTGGGTCTCTCTTATTCGGGATCCCTGTTGTATCCCTTTTACTTGGAGTGCATGTTGTGGAGACATTGCCCGGNNCCCCCCCCCCCCCGCCGCCGCCCCGCGCACCCCCGCCGGCCTCGTCCTTGAGCGCACTGGGCGGGTCGGCCTCGCTGGCCGCCCAATCGGCCCATGGCTGCTCCTCACCTCAAGGCTTCGAGTTTGGGTCTCATAGGGTTTGGGTTTAGGGTTTAGGCGGTTTAGGGTTAGGAGTTTAGGGGCTTTGTGCCGAGGGCTTCGGGCTTGGACTGTTGTTTTGGAGAGCTCTTCCCTTGGTCCACTGCATCCTCCTAAAGGTCGGTCAGAGCCACGAGCTCGCCACTGGGTGAGCGATGTGAAGGAAAACTATGTGGATACACTTCGATGGTTTCTCGAGGCTTTGTTGAAATTAGGGCCTAGCTTTAAGGAGCCGACAGTATAGGGTTTAGGATAGGAGACAACCGATTCTAGCGCTGCCCACTACTTAACGCAACTGCAGGAGGCAACTAGTCGGACTGCGTGGGCAGGTCTCAAACTCTAGTTTCCCGGCGAGCACGCGCTTCCCCTGACAATGCTGCCTGGCCATTCCTCTTGCATCGCCATTGCAGTCTTGCGAATCCACAGCAGTCAGAATACCGACTGGGAAAAGATAAAAAAGCTGAAACCTTTTGGATTTCTGTGCAAGACACCTATCGTTTCTACATTTCCGCGCTCGCAGCTTTGGCGCAACGGCCTGAGCCAAAGAAACCGGCAAAATGAAAAGCGCATCGAGAGACGGTGTTTCATCTGATGGAATCTCCAAGCAAGCATTCAACAGGCTGCCTCCAGCATGGTCTGACAATGCGACAATCCATGGTCTGACAATGCGACAATCCAAAAATACTCGAAGACCCGTCAAGGCTCAGTCATAAATGCCTTCTCACGCACAACAGACCCCAAGCCTTAGCCCAAAACTCGAAGCGTTCAAGGCAGAGCGGCAAACCCTATCACTGCTTCTTTCTGTGCCCGCAGGTCAGGTCTGCTTGGGCAATGCCGGCACTTGCACAAGGATGCGAGGTCTCCTCGTCTGCGGAGGGAGGATCGGCGAGAAGTACGAGTAGGGAGAGTGAGCATACCTAGCCGTCCTGGCCTGGCCTTGAGCCGGAAGTCAATTCAAAGAAAATGCTTTCGCCCATGAGAGACCTGCCAACAAACTTTCTGGGTCTCCGCATCCCTGGACAACTTTACGAGCCGATGGCACGAATTCGTCAGAAGGCCAATGGGCAAAGACTCGACTTGCCAAGATCCGTTTGAAGCGCACCACCGAAGCCACAACACAAGTCGGACTGGGAAACAATACCCTCAGACATGTGCATTGTGACATGTCCGTCCCATGCCGTCCAAAACCTGAGAAAAGGTTTGGCTCTCAACAAGAAGCGAGAAAGTCAGAGCATAGTCTTCGACACATTGATACTGTTGAATGTGGTGCGCTTGTCCTGCTCAGACCCAATGCAAACAGCAAGTACAAGGAAGACCCAGCGAAGGAGAATTATTGCGGTCCTCTGACACTTGGAGGCAAACTGCGCGACTTGATGCCTTCTCGAGCTGCAGCCCCCCTCCGGGAAAGTGTCGGGGCTGGCCTAGTCTCGGTTGGGACTCATTTCTTCACGGGTCTCCACACTTATTATTCTCAGAACGCCCGAACCATGGGCAGTTGAAACGGGAGGAGAGCTGCGAACGTAGCACGTGACCTTTCTCCTAACTGGCTCTGCGCAGCTTCGGCCAGGAAAACAAAGTCCGGGGCTGTCGAAGCAGTCCATTCACTGCAGTGACTCCAGTGTCTGCTACAGATCGGGTTCAGCCAAGCTCCGCAGAGGTGTCCCAGCAGCCCAAGTAGCTCCACTAGTCAGGCGCCAGCTTGTCCGTGACTGCGTCACCCAGCTGAGCAAGAAGGGAGCAGGTCCCAAGGAGAGTGGCCCTCGCAGACTGATAAAATTGAAGCCACGCTGCCTTGGCGACCATCTCACCCTCTTGTGTGTGTGGGGCCGAGGTCCCAGACTCAACACGTCCAACATCCCTGCCCTCGCTGGCGTGCGCGGCGACGCGCAATGCAGGCAGAGGCCGTCGACTGTCCGTATTTACAGGGGGAAAACACAGCTGCAGTCCGGCCGTCTGACGGCAGCCTGGGCTGTCTCTCCACGGGCATTAAGGCCACTCTAGAATGAGATTTCAGGAGCCCCAGGCCCAGGCAAGCCGACAATGTGCAGAAACAACACGGCTTGTTCTGCACTCTGCAGCTTTTGGCCTCAACTTGCCAGCCAAACGCAGTAGGCGCAGCAGGCGCAGTGCAATAATTTTTGCATGTGGGCCACTGCATATTACGTTGCAGCGGCATCCGCTGGAAAATAGAATCGATTCGGGTGCAGCCAGCCGCGTTCAAAGTTCTCGCAGGCTCTGGCTTGCCAGTATGTGTCAGACTTCCCCAAAATGCCCAAGGCGGCTGTGGCGCAGTTGGGACAAAAACCAGCATGGACCTACTGAAGCAAATCTGCATAGTCAACAAAACGCAAACCACAAATCCGACTAATGAATTCGCAGAGAGCCTCTCCCGGTTGCACAGGTTTTCTTGACTCTTCTCTCAGGTTTCTGACTCTGGGGCCAATGTGAGGCGTAAGGGACCGGGTGTTGCATGACTCGGCTTCCTGCTACAGCACTACTGTAATCTGAGGCAGTAGCTTCACTGGCCCTCAGATGGAGAACTGAATGAAGCAGAACAGTGTGAGTCCAGCCATTCTGTTGCGAGGAGCTCAGGGCATGTGAATGTGAAGGTGCACCCATCAGAAGAGTACACGAGCTCTTCGGCCAAGCAGTTCCCCAAAACTCCGCTGCGCAAGCTTGCCTTGCTGTTGAGGTGCAAAAGGTTCTCACATGTTCTTACGTGAGCCGAAACTGACCCGATCCACAATTGTCGGCTACGGCAAGCTTGCAAGAGTTCTAGGCATAAGCAGCACTTTCAACAGAGGCTCCTCTTGGCGGATTTCCTCTTGTCGTCCTCGCCACGCATCTCTGATCCAATCCCGCCAAGACTTGCGATCCACAGGAGGCCTCGGCTCAGGAACGCGAAAGCGATCCCACTGGCAGAGCTCCGACCTCGTCGCAGGAGTCAAAGCTTTCCGGTTGGCACAAGGGCTTCGGGTCTATAAAGCTTCGGGCCCTTGGGTTGAGGGGACTCCTGAATCACTGGAAGCCCCTTGTACCGAGCATCCTGCTGCCATGGGCATCCTGGATGATTGGGCCAGGGAAGGCCAGGGGCTGAGCTGTCACTTCGCTTGTCTTTGCGGGTTTGGCACGGCTCTGGATTCGATAAGCAGTCTCGTCCGGCTCGGCGCTCTTAGAAGCCTTCGACCCCGGGTCCTCGGAGCATCGCCAGATTGCCGCCTGTGCTGCCAGCCTGCCTCAGTGAACTGAGACTTCACAGAGCGCTCAAGTTGCACAGGGAGCCACTCAGGCGAAGGCAACCTTGCCGTCCATGTGGCTGTGATGATGCTGGCGAATACGAGGGGGCCTCCGTGCGGGCGAAGGTAACTTCGCCACTGAGAGCTGTGTCTAGCCGATGGAGCAACGGCTTTGATGGTCTCAAAATCGCGGATCTCCGATCCCCACACGCACACTCCAGGGTTCGTTGTTCCTAATCATGCTTTGCTGCAGATCAGGGCGAGCCGTTCGGTGACATGGGCTCCTTTGACTTGACAGGCGACCGCTGGCAGTCTTCGCAAAGTCCAAATGCATGACATGGCCCGACACCTCGGAGCCTTCGAGGGTTCCGGGAAAGCCACCTGGAGCACACCGATCGGTGGGGTTGCAAGGCTTCCACCCCGAAGCTCTTGGGGTCCAGTGACGAGTGAGCTCGGGCTTCTCCCCATGCTCCCCTCAAGGCCCCCGCCCGAACGCCATTCTGGAGAACCACCGGTTTGTACCTGCCACGGAAGCGTAATAGCTGACCTTCTGGTGAATGGTCTCCCAAGGAGCCTTCAGGGCTTCCGACAAGCTTCAGGCCCGCTGCACTAGTGCGACATCTCAGAAATCAAACTCCGCTGTTCGCACTCGTCCGGCACACTCTCGTGCATGACCTCGGCGAGCGCGTTTCATTGAAGCTGCTTTTTGCAAGGAGGACCGGGGATGGAGCACAACGAACAGAGAACGTTACAGGCACAGAGCTCGGACTGAGGCCGAGCTCAGGGAGAAGGCGACTTCCAAAGGCACAGCCCGGGGCCCAGCAGACTCGGGCCGATTCTGTTTTGCCTCTCCGCGATTCTCGGCTGACTCGATGTTTCTGCATTTTCGGCTTGGCGAATTTTCGCCAGGTGTTAGTTTGCGTCTGTAACCAGTGCACCGATACGGACTACGAGTGAGGCGAAGTTGCAAGTGTATGGCAGTGTATGGTTAGAAAGCTTTCGCTCTCAGCTTCGCTTTGCACAGAAACCGCTTCCGGGTTCCAGACACAGTCGAAGTAGCAAGAAGCCTAGAATAGCTGTGCGGGCTCAAGTTCTGAGGGTTAGTATTCCCGTTAGGACGTCTTCGAAGGATCTGGCCCGAGATCGCTCCGCGGCACTCCGCCGCGCAGCCCTGGGCAGTGCTTCTGAGACGTGGAAAAAGAAACTGAGCCCGCTGGCACACCACCTGCCCCACGAAAGAATCAGTGCCACAGCAATCTAAAAAGCCATTGTGCTGGCTTCCAGTTTGCAAGACTTCCGGGGCAAGGTAGCATTTATATAAAACAAACAAGGAAGTGGCGCAACGAGAAACGCTGCTGCACAAAGTACGTGCCACTAGATTTGCACAATTAAGTGCACACCGCTGGCATCCCGGGCATCGCCCTTGCCTCCCGAACCGACAATATAGTCTTGAACTTGAGGAAGATGCAAGCATCTTTTCAGAATGGAACTACATCCTGGAGACCATCCACAGAACGCGACAACGTGAAGAAGCACTTGCGGCTTCATCCAGCAAGAACATCTCGCACGGAATCACGAGCGGGACTCGACTCTGTTGCGCTTGCGCGGGAGCAGCGTTGCAGCCCAAGCCTTCATCCGGAGCACCTGCGACAGTTTGGAGGCACATCACGGCCGGATTCCTGGCTCGTGAGATCGCAACCTGATTCACCTGAACCCCCCAAGCAGCAGAACACGGAAGGGACACAGGCGACACAGGCCTTGTCCCATGTGCCACATCGTGGCGGGGCGTCCTCCTCGGGCCGCGGAAGAATTCCTGAGAGGGCGTCCGAAAACATCCACTATTTCTGTTTTGGCGCCCTGTAAAAATCACTACCAAACCAGACTGAGCCAAGCTGCCGCGAAGCGGGAGCGTCTGCCTAGGTGTCCTCGAAACTGCCCAGGGCTGCGCAATCGGTGCCTTCTGTTCTGGCACCATAGCGCACGCCCTGTCCACGGGCAGGCCATCGCCATCGCTGCAGTCGCTCCTGCTGCGGAAGCCCAACAGCTTCCGGAAGTCGTGCTCGTCCAAGCAATTCACTCGCTCGAAGCTGGCCGTGGAGTTCGTCGGCTGCTGCATCGTCGGGGGGCAAGTTTCTGCCAACGCCCACGGCACTCCACTACTACGAGTACAGTGGCTCTATCTCCGGCGCGCAATACCCTCTTGGGACTTGAGGAGACGAACATGCACAGACTAGACACTCCTGCCCGCATGTTCCTGCTCTCTTCTTCAGTGCTCCAACCCCCACCACGCAGATTGACTTTCTGCTCCTCTCAGGCGAATCTTGAGAGCCGGAGAGCCCCGGCAAAAAGCGGTTCCACATGAACACCACTCCTCTAAAAGGAGAAGTGCCCACGAATTGCGTCACATCTCGGCATTCGCCCAGCGTCTGGTGCTGCGACATTTCTATCGTCTCAGACACCACACGGCCATTGAGGCGAGGCATAGTCAGGTCAGAGTTGAAACGCCCGTTTCATCCAAAAGCGCTTACCAGCACCTTTCCCAAATTTACACCTAAATGCCGAGGAAAGCCCCGGGGAAGAATCAGCAGCTTACTAGCTGACAAAGGCTCCTTCGACATGCTGCTTGCCAGAGGTGCGTATCGATTCTGAACCATTGAAGTTCCCTGGATCCAAGCTCAAACTACTTTCCACCAGTGCATTGCCCTTGCAACCTGTGGCTAGCAAGGCTGGAAAAGGTCTGTCGGCTTAAAAAATCCTGTCGAAGGACATCAGAACATCAGATCATGTGGTGCTGCTAGGCGCAACATTCCTGGTCATTCACTACGTCTCACGAGCGGGACTCGACTCTGTTGCGCTTGCGCGGGAGCAGCGTTGCAGCCCAAGCCTTCATTCGGAGCACCTGCGACAGTTTGGAGGCACATCACGGCCGGATTCTCGGCTCGTGAGATCGCAACCTGATTCACCTGAACCCCCAAGCAGCAGAACACGGAAGGGACACAGGCGACACAGGCCTTGTCCCACGTGCCACATCGTGGCGGGCCGTCCTCCTCGGGCCGCGGAAGAATTCCTGAGAAGGCGTCCGAAAACATCCACTACCTCCGAGTCTGGTTTGGCGCCCTGGAAATATCTCGACTGAGCCAAGCTGCCACGAAGCGGAAGCGTCTGCCTAGGTGTCCTCGAAACGGCCCAGGGCTGCGCAATCGGTGCCTTCTGTTCTGGCACCATAGCGCACGCCCTGTTCACGGGCAGGCCATCGCCATCGCTGCAGTCGCTCCTGCTGCGGAAGCCCAACAGCTTCCGGAAGTCGTGCTCGTCCAAGCAATTCACTCGCTCGAAGCTGGCCGTGGAGTTCGTCGGCTGCTGCATCGTCACCGGGGGGCAAGTTTCTGCCAACGCCCTCGGCTGCGATAGTTCAGGGATTTCAATATCTTGAAGGCCCCGCCACCGTACCCACCTACCCGACAACAACGTGGGACTTGAGCAGAAATGCATGGCATAGGCAGACTCGCAATCGCAGGCTTCGCCCTTCAGATGAGGGCTTTCGTGAAAGCGAGGCACTGCTGCCTGGTCCTAGCAACCTGAATTGAGCAACTTTTGACTGTCCAATCAGATTGCTGGACCCTAAAAAAGCCTAAAAAAAGCCTAATCTCTCAAAAGCTCTGAAGCCCCAAACTTAGCTCCGGACAGGGCTGTTGCGGTACCGCTCCACATGAGCCTGGGCGACTCCAGGCGCCGGGCCAGGGTTCCGGCTGTCTTTGTCTTTGGCTTCACTTTGGCCTTTTTAAAGCTGCACTTAATGGTGTGTCTTATGGTGTGGGTATGGTGTCTGATGCTCTTGTGTTATGCTGCACTGCTGGATTCTGCTCGATGCTGGTGTAGTGTGCGATTACATGCTCCATTGCACTGTACAGCATTATATCACACTGATGTTGTACTATCTTGCGGCCTCCAAGGCCCAAGAAAGTCCGCGCCTCCAGCCCTTGATGCGGTCCGCTCCAGCTCACTCCACACACCTCTCGCAGACCGTCATCGCCAGGGCCGCAGAAAAAGGGGAGACCCGGGCCTTCTTGCTTGGCAGCACCCACTTTGAATAGCCGCCTCAAGGGGCCCCCAAGAGGAGTTACAAAGAAGGCTGGAAAGCTTGCAAAGCTCGGGCTCCGGCTGAATTTGGCCCAGAATTGGGCCACGTAGGAGGGGTCCACCAAGTTAACAAACCTGGGTCGCACTAAACTTCACTAAACTCTCAAGCCAAGCCACAGCAGGTGCTGCCACAACCACGGCTCTACCTCTGCCTCAACGGCCTAGTCCAGGATGCTCGCCGGGTATTTAGGTGGCAAATCCGGCATTTCTAGTAAAGCAAGGATGCATACTTCTTGACCAATCTGAAAGCATTGCCTATGAAGAGATGGCACAGCCCTTTGGTTACAAACCCATGAACCCCTTCATCCTGCTAAGGCATCTGCGCATAGCCTAGACAGGCCCGGCTTTGAAAGTCGATCGGCAAGTACAAAAAGTTGTACCTCAATCGAAGTTTCACTTTTTGGCACCTTGCGTACGTCTGGCAAGCTCAGATGCACAAGTCCCTCCTGCTTGCTTGGTGGATGGCGCTGCATGGTAGACTGGAAACATCTGATCTGAAGAAACTAACCTACGGAAGCCTCATGGTCAGGCTTTCAACAACATCCAACGGCGCACTTGCCCTCAAAGCCTTCACTGTCAAGCATCGCCAACCTTGGAAGGGGCCGTTGCAGGCTGCAGACCTCTTTGAGGCTGTTTGCGGACTCTAAGGACCTCACAGCATCGCTCGCGTGTAGTTGTTGGGCAAGTTGCGAAGCATCACCTGGCTTCGAGCGCAGGCGCGCGCACCGTGACGCGACTCCTGTCCCAAACCATGACGGGCAAGCAGTTGTGCACTCTTCCATGGGTAGATCGCCTCAAGATCACAGTAGGGCTTGCAGCTTGCAACAGGAAGATTCCAATGCTGTCAGATATATGCTTGCATGACATGTTGGAACTATTTCCCGACCCGGCCTTGGACCTGCGCGTTATGGTCCCGACTCCAGCCCGAATGCACTATTGTTTTAACTGGGGCCTCCCATAACCTGCCGTCACAAGTCCCCGGCCCATGCCTCCACCGAACCATGCACCCATCACTAAAGCCGGGTTTCAAACGAACGAACGAACGAGAGAGAGAGAGAGAGAGAGAGAGAGATCAAAGAAAGACAGAAAGATCGTAAATCAACGTCCGTGGCAGGTGCTTCAGCAGTAGCTATCGACCACTACCTCACGCTCAGAACCTGACCAAAGAAACAAGGCCCATGTCCCGCCATTCGCTCAGGCTTCGACACTCAACAGGCTTCGTCGGGACGGCAGTGCCACGAACCTGCCTGCCTTCACGGAGCAGTGGTCTGCGAATATCTGGCAACCAAATATCCCGAGACCCCAGCAGACAAGGACAGATTGAGCACATCTTTCATCAACACCCCAGTGCCCAGCGTCCCTGACTCTGCCTTTCTGGAGGTTCAGGTCTGCCTGCCCAGAGCCACGACATGCGAAAATTCTTCAAGTATACCGGATGATACTACATGGTACTACACTCATATACTGTATTCTGATACTGTATACTAGACTCTAGTCTACTATACCATACTATACTATGCTATATCATGCTGCACACGCTAGATTGCATCATACCATACTGTACTATACTGTCTATACTAAATTACAGTCTACTGTATCATCTGATACTGTATTAAATAAAGGTATACTACATCATATATTACATTTCTTCCCTTATACGGTATCATCTTGCACTATACTGTCCTGTATTCTATTGCCAGCCTCGAACTCCGCGTCGCCCTTCTGGCCTCCGTTTCTCTGCATGTTAGGGCCAAGGGACCAAGGTCTAGGCCTAGGCCTAGGCCTCTTTGTGGGTATTTTGTGGGATCAGCCGTCTGCAGATCGCTACAACTCAGGCAAGCGCGGAAGCGACGTCGCCGGGCCTTCCACCACGGGTGAACCAAGGTCTGAACGTTTGAGGGCCTGCCTTCCCTTCTGGGGGCCTCTTCCGGGGCTTTAGAAGATTCAAGAATCGTAGTCGTAGGGATTCCGATTATCACGAGATCACAAACTGTCCTTGGACTGACCAAAAATCCCCTTGGGCGCCTGTTGGCTGTCCTGGCCCAACTCCTGGCTGTGCCTGGGCATGCGATAGAGAGAGTTATCGCAACACTCAGTCGTTTACATGACATGTACCCGAGGGTGATAGCATTCACACCGCGACCGAGAATGATACGGCTAAGAAGTCTGCGGCTACTTAAAAGATGGACTGGCGACAATGCGGGTAAGGACAGGCCGAGAAATGCAGGCGCGGAACGAACACCAACATCAACATCATAGTTGCGACTACATCGTGATTCTGGTGATGACTGTGGCAACACCAATACAGGCACACCATACATAACACACGTATCCTTGGTGATACCAGATAGCCCAACATGATCGCGAATCCCAACATGATCGCGACTGCGAACACCTACCGAGGCAAGGATGAAAAGAACGTGCTCACCTCCACCGTTCGGGCTCGCACGGGCCATGAGGACCCATCCAGGAATCAGCCGAGTCCTTCCAACAGCTGCTTCCCTCGTCTACCAGCACCCTCTGGAGCGGAAACCCCCACACACTCCACTTCTATTGCCACGTTATAAATGGAGACAGGTTTCACTACCTGTCTTGCCAACCGGGGTGTAGGTCGTCGTGTGGAAAAGATCCTCGGTTCCTTTCTCCCCGGCTCCTGCATAGAACCGCTGCCCGACCCGGGACCGAAGCTCACCTTGGCTGACATGGCGGTTTTGGGATGCTGGACGACGACGACGAGAGCGGTTGGGAGCGGTTGGGATGAACACGCAAACACTTTTGGGGGGTTCCGGCCTTTTGGGCGCTCAGCCGGATGATCGGTTCTGTGACTCGCTGCCACCAGCCCCTGTACTTTGGGCCGGAAAGAGAACTACGAATACTGACTTTGACATGCATATATTCAAATTTGAATGCCTGGCGTAACGACGGAAGTCCTTCTTCCGAGGCTGGTGCCGGCATCAACACCGTGGCCCAGCCCATGTTGCTCTCTTGCCTCGGTGCTTCAGAGCTTCGCCCCTGAGCCCGTCTGTTGGCCGAAGAACAAACTCGCAATGAAGCACAGATTCTAAAGCTCACAGGGGGGGGGGGGGGCTCATCGACCAGAAGCACGCGAACCGGCGCATCAACGCGGCCCGCTAAGCAGCTGGCTGAACGGGAGTCGTAGCTGCCGGCTGCGACTCGCCCTGGCTCTTCGACTCCTCCTTTCGCTGTTCCTGGCGGTCCGCAAGGGCTGCTTCTTTTGTACAGATCGCCTCGAGGGAGCCCAAAAGAAAAAACGCAGTCCTGTGCCATGACCCGCTGGCGAAGAAACTCGTTCTCCTGGCTGGAAAGAAACTAACTTCTGGAGGAGGCTTCGCCACTCAAGCTCAGGTGCCCGACACTGCCCTTCAAGCAACCAAAGTCGGAACACAACAACTCTGACTGCAGCGCTCTTGCCTGTGCCAATCTGGCCACCTCCGCTGCTAGCCTCTGGAGGTCCTGTTCCGCGAAGGGGAGCCAGTGGGCAGTTGATGTCCACGTTCAGGCCAACAGCTCGTGCCACTCCAAATCGAAGGAAAAAACAACGTCCTAACACCAAGCCACTAAGCAAGTATCACACGGAAGCGCCTGTTTCGAGGCACTTTTGTTGTCGAGTGCTACGTCAGACGAGGAGACCTGCCGCGAGAAGCCACTTCGAGCTGTGCTTTCCCCTTGCCTCTTCCCTCTTCTATATAACATGTGCTGCTCCGCCCTTCCAAATCCTTGCCCAAACCGATTTTGGAACTCTTAGAGTCTGGAGCTTATCCAATTTGCGCCCAGTCAAAAAACCAGAACCCCCCTGCCCCCTGAGCTTCGCCCCAGGAAGTGCACAGCAGCCGGGCCCACGCGGCTGTGAGTCGGAGGGGCAAGTCCCGGCATCGGGTCGGACCTCCGAGCTTTCTGTGCCCAAATTCGGTGAGAAAGGATCAGAGCTCTCTGAAGCTTGTGCCGCCAGTTACTACCCCCCCCCCCCCAACTCCTCCCCTCCCCCCCGCCTCATGTCCTCCTCTTTCGGGAGCTGGCCCTGGGCCCAAGAAGAAGACACGCCAAATTACTCTTTTCCTCACTGATACCCAGGGAGCTGAGGAGGCCGCAGCTTCACCGAAGCCACTGGGCCAGTCCATGCCTGGCATTGCACTGCCGATCTCACAGGGGAGCATGGAACCGTGAAACACGAAGTAACCACGTCTGGACAAGAAGTAAGCCCACAGAGCATTCCGCGCTCCTCTTGGACTCGGTGTTCGTGCGACGTACTGGTCAAAGTCGTCATGTCCTGGGCCATGTCAGATTGTACGTGCACGAGCGGCACAGAGGCCACAGTGAGTTCAGAGGATGCACACACGCCTACCGGCAACAGAATCGTGATGATGATGAAAAATCATAATGCAGCAAAACGGAGACAGAGTAGTAGAGTAGAGCAAAATGTGCATGCGATGTAATAATGCAGACTCTATAAAGCGAGAACCGGCCTGCTGCCTGCGCGGTGTGAGGTGTGCTCTCCCCACTGGGGAAGTCCTCACATGGCGGGCATCCCATCTTGGCAGGGTTTACGGGTTTAGGTTTGAGCGTTTGCCTTTTTTTTGCGGGCCTTGTTTCCCTCCCTGCAACAGTCGAAACACCTAGTAGGTAGAGCCTGAAATGAGGACTGCGAGGCTGCCTGAAACAACCCTCCAACCAGTAAACCACGTAAAGAACAAAAGGTCTCTCGCGACGACTACTGCCCCAACAGTTTTGGGTGTAGGAGTGTAGGGTTTAGGTGCCACGTCGCAGGCCCATCCTTCGTCGCATGGATTTTGCTCACGATGAAAACTACTTAACGGTGGTGCCGCGCTTGGAGCAACCGCCACTATTCCCAAAATCGCGCATGTTCTCCTTGATGTGGGAGTAGCATGGCAGCGGCAAGGACTTCTCACCTGACAGCGACTGTATGCCGGAAGAGTTTCAGCTGTATGCAACCGTATTGCTAGGCTCTGACTTCTGCTTGTTCATGTGCCGACCGCTCATTGATGTGCTTCTTGGCAAAAAATCACAGATAACTTACCTACTGTTTGTGTAGGTTAGGTAATGTAAATGTACGAACTGATGTAGTGATTCACAGATGGTACATTGACATCCGCCTGCTACATTAGCAAAGTCGCTCCTGTTCTTCTACTTCAGCAATTCTCTGGGTGCCTTCCTTGGTGTCTGGATTCGTCTCCGTGTCGCTCCAGCCATTGAGCTCGAACTCGATTGGCTCATCCTTGGACCGAGAGCTCAAGAAGAGCAGAGGGAGGACCCGACAGAAGCAGCACACAAAGAGCACAACGAACCCAGAGGTTACGACACCACTGCTAGGATAAGCCTCGGGGTAGCGATCCTGATTGTCAGTTGCAGGAAACGTCTTTGGTGGGGTCTTCTGAGGACTCTTGTCGTGGAGAAGTGAGCTGAGCTGGAGCCAACGACTTGAGATCCCTGGAGGCTGGTTTGCCACCATCTTCAGCCCGCCACCCAAATCCGTAGCATACTGCTCCAGAAGCCCATAAAAAAGGCCAAATCTTATCAGCATGCAAGCAATGCACCCACAGACCTCCGACGTTGAAAGCCCGTACCCAAAGACAGCTGCGTGGTAGATCGGGCTGAAGCTGAGCGCTCTGGTCAAACTCCCCAGGTGCATACATAATCCTCTACACACACACACAGACAGATTGTTCATGCTTTCTCTGTGTCACGGGATTCAAAGAAACCTTGATTCCTGTCTGTCCGAGGGCCAGGCCGAAGGAAAGTCCTTGAAGTCCTTCACGGGCGGCAGAGGCTTCTGCGGCGCCTCCCATCGGCTCCCCCAAAAACGCCCCCAAGGCCCATCCTCCCCCCCCTCCCCCCCGCCTTTTGCAGCGGAGAGGAGGGCGAGTTTTTGACGGCGATTTCAGAGACCCCGACGAGGCTTGGGACGACGATGACGACGACAGCCGGAGGTGACGACTTTACAGCACGAAGGGCATGAGTTCGAAGAATTAATCGCTACTGAAGATCTATGCCAAGGACCTGTTGTGCGGATCTGTGCTCGGGGTGGCTGCCTTCCAAGCTTACTTCAAACTAATGGTGACGACGTGAGGCTTTCTCCGATCCAACCTGGAACTTCAAGAATGGTTTCGCGAAGGTTCAAAGAAGCTCTGCCGGCTGGACATGTGCGGAACTACAACAACGCCCTGTTTCTGTGCATTTGTTGCGAAACCCGTGCCAGAGTTTCTGAGCTTGCTAAGCCTTAAAGTGATCAGGGCCCGACAGATCCGGACAGTGCCTTGGTCTCCACCTCCTGAGGTGCCTCCGCAGCAGGAGGGTCTCTCTGCAGAATTTCCAACAGTGTGAGACCCGTGGATCCCGGATCGGAGGCTGCGGCCGTGGTCATGCTTTCACATGCAACTCATCGGGGTGCTGCTCAGCTTCTATACGGTGTCTGCTGCAGTACGCGCCTGGTTGGGCGAGTAACCTGGCTGGCACAAGAGTTGCATGAAAGACGACGACGTATACCGGATCCAAAGCAAAGTGGAATCTGAGTTCAGAGTCTTACGAGTCAGGACATAGCCAGGAGAGGGACAGAAGCACCGACATAAGAAGCCACCCGACAATAGCCAGACTATAGTGCTTAGTAGCCGTAGCCGCATAGAAGCCTTACAGTCACTCGCAGAGTAACCCTAGAGTAAGGATGCTAGGAGTGTAGACCCTTGAGGATCGGGCCCTCGTAGAGGACGGAGTCCGAGCTGGCGCGCATCAAGCAGTTGCTTGAGAAGCCATCTGGGCGTGGCAAAAGTCTCTGGAGGATCTGGAGTTTATTTGATTTGGGAGGAAGAATGAGGAGCTTTTTGCATTCGGTCGAGGGGGACGGAGACTGACCACTCAACCGGAAGGGCAAGCTGCTGACATGGGCAGGACGAGGCCCAGGCCTGCATTGGCAGGGGAGCCATCTTCAACAAGTTCGATGAACGTGTTGCGCAGCACCTTGCGAGATTGTAAGGTAGCACCCTAGCATCGTCAGCTAGTCCCTGCGCTACTCCTTTTGAGTGTAGCTGAGAGATTGGGCTGGATCTTCCTGCTGCTCTGCATGTAGATCTGCGGCTACGGTTGCTTCGGCTGCGGCAGACCCTCAATTGGGAATCAAGCAGTGGGAAGTTTGAGGGGTTCTGCTAAATCTGATGCCTGCACCGAGGGCGTGATGGCAACAGAAGCCGAAACTGACTCCCCACCATGCTTTGAACTTTGAACCAAGCCTATGCCCCTTCCTATGTCGGCGTTCCCAACAAAAGCAGCTCGGGCACCCATCGTCCGTTGGATGAGGTTTGCTCCTAGTCGCGGTAGAGGTTGAAAGTCTCTGCTAGGGTTTGGCTTGGGATGGAGAACAGGTTTCAGAGTTCAGGGCTTCGGGATCCAAGCTGCGGATCCGCAGACTCCAGACGCACGAGACGCAAGGTCCTTCTGGACTGACTCCATCACGTCCTGCCACTGTTGGCGGGCTTCAGAGATAAGATCCGACTATACCTCATATGGCTGCGGTGTAAACCAGCCTGAATGATGCGGGGACTCCGATGGAGCGTGGAGCTACATGAGTGACTTCCGTCTGCAAGCAACCCCGCTCAACATGCCGCAGGCCTGCACGATCTCTGCGAACCTTTCTGTAGCAGCCGAAATGTGTGGACTGACCACACCGAGGGGGTACCTGGCGGGAACGGAACCGATCGTTGCTTGACTTCGGATTAATGGATTCCGGCGCACAGATATCAACTGTGGGGCAAATTCTTCGTATTGACTACTTCCTGACACGACGCGATTTACCAACACGGTGTCGTCTGTCTCCCGGCTAAATTAAGTTTCGATGTTCGGCACTCGGCTTCAAGACTTCGCCAGGCCGACAAATCGACAGCTCTGTCTCTGCACCGATCCCTTGTTAGACTTGAGCCCAAACGGCCGGCGTGCGCAGTGAGCGGAGAGCGGAGAATCTCAAGGCTGCACTGTCAGCACAGAGAGGTTGTGCCTTACTCTGCTTGGGCCCTCTAACATCCAGTGCATGCAACCTGTCAAGGATGATCTCTTGCACAATCGCACTAGTACAAGCGTAACAACGCTTCGGTCGTTCTTGAACGTTGGGCTTAGCACTCGTAGGCATCTTCCATGCACCCGTTGCCAAATCAACATGTTTCGGGGAGTTCACGGTGCGGCAGCTCCGACCCCAACCTACGACTCTGTACAGGCGAGCCTCTTGCACCTTCTCCGAAAACAAGTAACTGCCACATGCACCCAGCCTGCATCTATGATGACTGATAAGAGTGATCCAAGAAGCACCGCCACAACCCCGTGTCTCTGCCCTGCATCACGCCTAGTTTGAGACGCTCCCCCACCCGTCGTCAATGTCCTGGATGTGCTTTGGCAAGACCTCAAGCATAGACCGGCAAGATCCAAAACCTATTTCGCGAGCATGCCTTTAGAACAGAATCTTTGCAGGATCGTTTACCATTGTTGTAGTATCGTAGTTGGCTGTCAAATGGTATCAACGCAGGTCAGATTGCCAGAATGACCATGTCTTTTTGCCTAATGCCTGCCGAAGTGGAAACTCATGTACCGATCCTTGAACTTCCTTTGGCTTTCCTATAAACAGTGCTTGGTCTGAGCTAGTGGAATCTGCATACCTTGGAGGCCAGGTTTGTTGCTTTGGCTTGGTGTCGCCATGAACTGCTCCGTTTCACTTCAGCGGAGGTTCGGGACGGAAGTAGCCTCACCTCCCTAAATTGACAACATGCGGATGCTGCCAGCACTCGGTATCAAGGCTGAAAGTCTGAGGAATCCACCTCCCCACTGAACCATGCAGCATCCAGCAACCTCGGAGAGACTGCGATCACCCCGTTTCCACCGCAGCATAAGCTTGCGATGGCCATCAGACCTAAACTTTTGTGACTGCACTGCCCTCTGCTGCAGCACATGGATGTCTTCCATGCCCTTTCAACCCACAGATGATTGAAGACCCGACGTTGCCAAAATCCGACGAACCCTAAAGCGTTCACAGGGCTCGCGCCCACCCCGGGCATGAACTTCCAAGAGCCTCCGCCTGACATAGAGCGGGGATTCGACTTGTGATGCTGTTGAGGCTGTCTGTTTCACAACCGCAAGGTAGGTTCTATCCAGAAACACGAGACGGTCGACTCCTAAGAGATCCGAAAGCCGACGGCAAGTCTACTCCCTCAAGCTTGACGGGGCCTCTCTTCCTCCACTATGCGGGACTGCTCCTCTTCCTCCGAAGACGCTCCATGCCAGGGATTCTCAAGCTTCCGTCTCACAGGGCTGAGCCGTTGCAGGCGTCCCAAAACCTTGCAATGGACCAGCAGGGGAGTCCTTGAGCTTCTGAAGATGCCAATCTGCCTCCTCCTTCTCCACCTCTGCCTGCAGGTGGGCCCATCATGGGCCCAAACCCTACACTATAGGACCTAGATTCGCTCTCCAGTGACCCCCACCCCTTCCCTCTTAAGGGGGGGGTTCGTCTGGGTGAACCCTTAAATGAGCCCCAAGGTCCTCGGCCCCCCGCTCAACCCCCTTCCCCGTTCCTTCCCGCACCCATTCGCTTCGCTTTCCCTCCATTGTTGCTTCCGCTTTTCCGCCATTCTTGCTTTTCTTGTTTGCACTGGCTGAGAGCGGCAGCCGTCGATGCGCTGCAAGCCTAAGGTCCTCGACGCAAAGCACAGACCCATTTGTTTTCATTTCCTGCCCGTTTTCAAACTCGAGTTTCTGAGCCTGTTTTCCACGTTGATGGCTTGTTTGCCGCGTCTCTTTCCTCCGCCGTCCAGTTTTTCCTCGCCCCCTTCGCTTTTGTGTTTTGTCTCTCATCCCATCCCTTCGGTCTTTCCGTACGACGGTGAGCTGCAGTAAATTGGCACCAGCAGTTCGTTGGCCCTCTTTGTTTGCGGCCGGGCCGAGGCGGACGACGCGAAGCGTCTAAAATTAAATCAGCCTAAACCCTTCCAATATGAGATTCGCTGGACTTTCGCTGGTTCGATCTGGTTCGGAGGGAGAGCCAAGGATGCGCTCTCGTCCCCGCTGGACTTTCATCTTGACAGCGGCTTGGAACAAGCCCACCCAAGTCCTGATCACGTCTCACAACCTTTGTCACCCAAGAACAAAGCATCTCAGCACTCAGACTCCATAAGAGCCTTCCGCAGCTCGCGGCGTTTGGCCGCCAACTCCTCAGCCTGGTCGAAGCGGAGGCTCGGCAAAACCGGGGTTTAGGACGCAGGGATGTGGCTTCGCTGTGGGATGTTCCAGGACCAGGCCATGGGATGATACCGTGCCTATCTTCCTGTCTAGCAACCAGCACGCTGCCTCACGCTTGAAGGCCAGAAGTCGCATGCGCCTCCTCGGGGCATCGGCAAGACAACAAGAAAGACAACCCGACCTCATCCCATAAAGAGATAAAGACGAGTAGCCATGCGCTCGCAACCAGATCCCCTCGAATGCGCCGCTAGGCCCCCGAGCTTCTGGTCGCTGAGCTGCTCGAGCTTCGCCTGGAAAAGACCAGCTTGCATACGGTTCTCTTCTGGCTTTGGGGCCTGCAAGTGTACCTTGGCAGGGAGACCCACAGCCTGATCTCAAACTCTCCCCCTGCCTCTTCGGCACAGGACTCCACGAACCGAGCTCGCCAGGTTGCTTCCTCTACCTCTCTGTCAGACAGTCCGTGCACATCGCCGGCACCCCCCTGTATCCCCCTGTCCCATCTCCACGACAGCACTCTGTTGGTAAGCAGAAACTCCATGTCGATTCTAGTCCCAACTTGCGCTGGGGGCTGCGATGGAGTTCATCTTCTGAGGCATGGGAGGGCCAAGTTTCGAGCAGGCGAGGATGAAGCTCAAATCCTGAAGCAGAAGCGCCGACGCCTGCTCTTTCTGTCGATTCTCCCGGAGGTTTCGGAGGCCGTCCTCCAACACAACACAGAAACGGGAGGGAGACCGGCACGGAGCCAGATGCCAGCAGCACGGGACGCCAGCTGCAGGGCTATGACAGCTATGACACCAAAGCGCCCCACTGCGCGATGGAGACGGTCCTCGGCGGCCTGCACGGCTTTGGTGCGGGCCTGGCCACGCAAACTCGCGCACCCAATCAATCTTGGCGTGGACGAATGCAGCCTCGAGTCGACGTTCAAGACTTCGCTCCTCGTTCCAATCTAGCTAGTGACACTGACACACCCCTCCTGTACTTCTTGTTTTTCGCGGAGTATCCTCCTCTCGGCGCAGCGCCGCTGCTGCGGCCTCCTCCTGTAGAAGGCCATGCAACCTCAACGTCGCCACGGCTCGGTAGCAGTTTGCTGTAACTTCTCGTATCTCGAGCCCAGGGCAGCTGAAGACGCTGTTCGTCTTCTTGCTGCTGCGCCAGACAGGCGGCCACTCTCTCCAGCACCTGTGGAGAGGAGCCCCCAAAGCCCAGGCCATTCAAAGCTCCAAAGGGCCGGACCTGGCCTGGGCTCGCGCCTGCTCCGCGGCACGGCGCTCCTGGGCATCTCTTGCCGAAGGAAGGTCAAGACGGGGCCAAGTAAGCCCAAACGCCTGGGCTCTCGCGGCCCAAAAGAATGCCTGAGCACCTCAGCGACGGTGGGGCAAGCTTTGCACACCACTGTTGCGTTGGCTCAATGAGGGCAGCTGTTCTGTGTTGTCTCCGGGTTCGAGCATGTTGGAGGGGAGCCACACTCTTAAAGTCCACTGAGCAGATCTCATCTTCGCATCCGAGCGGCTCTGCTGCCTCTGCGCACGCTTTATCGCAGCCTTCACAAACTGACCCTTCAAGCAAATCAACATAATGTGGCAAGCATCCCTAAGCTGGCCATGCTTGACAGCTGCCGGCCTCTTCGTTTCGGACCTGCTCAATGCATCTGTGCGAGGGGTTCAGGTGATGCCGTGCGACAGAAGCCAGGCGACTCTCTGACGCATGTGCTTCATGCAGACACAGTGCCTCCTGTTCACGCAGCTGGGCTTGCTCCATCACGAGCCTGATTGTCACAGGTTTATTTGCTAGAGTCCAGAACAGTCTTCAAAGTGGACGAAGGGCGCAGGGGCCTGTCTAAGGCCGTGCGCACCGCAGCCTGCAGCTTGCGCCTGCCCCGTTGCATGTCTTGCAAGACACAAGTAGCCACAGGTGCATCCGATGGGGTGATGCCTCCGGGTCTGCGTCTGCAGGTCCTGCGTCGCAAGCGGTGGAGGACTAGAGTCTAGAAGTCCAGCAATCGCTCCTTTCCCTGCATGCGCAATGACTCTTCAGAAACCGAAGGCCCGAAGATGCCACGTGAAGAGGCACAGAAAGCCTGTCCTGCTGCTGTGCCTTGTAAACAGCCGCTTGCACCATCATCTTGTCTTGGTGCTTCTCCTGGAATCAATCGAGTATCGTGCTCAACAGCACCGTCACATCCACGCGAAGCACCTAGCCTTCGCAGCTTTCCGAGCTTGGTCACGGGTCTTCCGCGCCACCTCTGCCTGGCAATGCCGTGCCCTTCTGCTCGACAATGGCACAAGCTGCGGGCCGCGGGGCCTCGCCCTCCTTCTGCACCTGCACTGCACCTGAAGTCCGTGAGCTGTTCCTATTGATCAGACGCAGCTGCCTGGGTGCCAGACGAGCACGGCTCTCCGCTGCAAGGTGGGCACTCGCCCGCTCTTGCGCTAGGAACTCGACCTCCCACGGAGACAAACAGCTTCGAGCAAGCCGGATGGTCTTGCTTTTCAAGGCTCCACATATCGTGAGACTGTTCGGCTGTGTTGCTATGCAGGGAGCGGGAAGGGCAAGTCCACTCGCAGCCTCGTCGGCAACTCTGGAAACCTGCTCCTCCTGCTCACGGGTCTCTTCCTGACGGCATGCAGAGCTGCCCCGAGTTGCTTCAGGCACTGTACCGCTACGCCGACATGGTGCCACTTCTTAGTCTTAACCACCAAGGAGCTACGATGCGAAAGCGTTCTTCCAACATGACCTAAGCCTTAATTTAATCAAGGTCCCAGCCACCAAAAAAAAACACCGCTCAAGATGTGGATGACAAGGATGATAACGATGATGAAGAACATGATGATGGTGATGATGATATTGATGGTGATGGCGATGGTGATAACGGCGATGATGTCCATGATGATAACAATGATGATGGCCATGGCGATGACGGGGCGATTTGGAAAAGGTTGCTGCGCAGGGACCTTATTCTCCAGGCATTTCTTACTTCCCCCCACGAACCTCCAAAGACTATCCCCAAGCTTCAAAATCATCGGCCCCACCCAGCATCTTCGCCTTCTCTGGTAACACTGGCTTTGCTGCCCGACTTCACAGATTAAGTGCAGGGTGTTTTTGTGTGGTGGCTGGTGCCTTAGCCAAGGAAAGCTCTCTCACACATTGACAAGCCTCATATCATCCGGTCCGAGCTCTGGCTCACTAGAGTGCTTAGACTGTTTCTGGAACGTGGCCGAAGACCAGCTCAGCTGACGGGCGATACAAAATCCTTCTGGGCAGTTGCACCTACTTCAGCCTGAAGCCCCGGACCTGAAAGCCCCGCGGATTGGGTACCAATTGGCTCTCATGGCGGCCTCCACTTCTTTGCGCAGCACCTTGCAGCAACCCGACCGTGCGTCTGTTGCTTGGGCTAGCAGCATCACCGAATCTAGAAGCATGAAGCAGCACTCGGGACCGACCGCATATGTACGGCTTCAAACAAGTAACCTCTATAGACCTACTTGCTGGCATTGCCGGTCATGTTATCTGTACTTCCGTTCTTGCTCCGACCAGTGAATGTTCCGCTGTTACGAGTACTAAACTAACTCTCTTCTTGGCAATTTCGTTCTTGTTACCGTCACTACGAAGGTTACGGCTACAGCTTGCACTTTCGGTTTCCGACATTGCTTAAGCCATCGCCTGCAACTGCCGCAGCTGCTCAGCCTCCACCTCCTGGTAGTGGCGCCTGGCACATCGGGCAGAGGACTGGCAATTTCTTGAGGTGCGTCCCTGGCCTTCCAAACCCTGGGAAAGTCGCCGCAAGAAAAAGTCGCAGGAAATCACGAAAAATCGCGGAACAATCGGCGTCGCCTCAGCTCGCGCAGCTCGGGAGCCTCCCAGGCCCGTCGGCGCCCGGCCTCCCGGGCTTGGACCTGGCGACGTCGGGTTAGGATCTTGAGGAAGAAGCAGAGGAGGAAAAGAAAGCGGACGGATGACAGAGAGAGAGAGAGAGAGTGAGAAAAGAGGAGGGAGGGAGGGAAGGTTGTCGTTGACAGTTGAATGTGCCGCATGCACTCTGAACTAGGTTTCCTGTTGCGACTCCTGGCACTAGCAACCCCAGGCGCGACTTTTGCTCTCTGCTAGTTCTTTGGCGATCCGTAGATGTCGTAGCGACGTTGCATAGAGAGCGGCATCTTGTTTCGCACATCCTTGCCGCAGAGCAGTGCACTCAAAGCTGAAGCTGGTCAGGAGATCCGCTCAAGCTCGGGTCCTCGAGGGCATCGGGCTGCACCTCCACCACCTTGACACCAGAAGAGGTGCCGTCGAACTCCGCCAGCACCTGCTCGAACCAAGCCCACTGGTCTCATCTCTGCCTCCCTCACTTCGTTCGTGAGCCGACCATAACCCTCTTCGCCTTGCCCCAAGGGTCCACAGCCATGGCGTGTCCCCAGGACTGGCGTCGGTTGCCGTCCTCGTTGTGCAACCCGGCCTGGCGCGGGGTCGAGTCTCGCCCTTCGGAGCTGCTTCGCTTTTAAGTTCCGAGCGACTGAGCTCAACTTTCGGTCTGGATTCGAAACGTGATTTACGCGCAGGATTTGCGAGCACACTCCATGCGTGGAGCAAACAAAGGCCGAGCTGCTTGCGCGGCAGCGATCACGTAGCACTGGCATTCCACTGCTCGCGTCCGCATGAGCAGCTCCCAGTGTGCTTCGCCCGTCGGCATGGAGAATGCCGAGGGGATCAGTAAAATTTCCTCAGTGTAGATGGAGCACCACTAGAAATGGTCTCCCGTCAATGCTGCGAAAAGCGAACATGCAACTTCCTCAAACATGCACAAGGCTCGATTGAAAAAGCTTTTTTTGCTTCCCTTTGCAGAGTCTGTCTCACCTTTGTCTCGTTGGAGTACATGCAGCATAATGCTGTACATGCGGATTCACTCAACGCCGGTGGTGTCCTCCGGGTCTGCATGCTCACATTCCAGGACAGGCGCTTCGTTGCCGAAGACGCCCGTTGTGAACGCTTTTTCTTCGATCTCTTTCAGGAAAGCTTCTCTCGTAATCTTCTTTCGTCATGCCCGCAGCCTCTTCCAATAGAGCCTCCAACGGAAGAACAGCCTCCTCACAATAGATCTCCGTGGATTTAATTTAATATGCTGGGACCGGAAGAGGAACCTGGGTCGATAGCGATGCATAATCATGTGAATCCGATGCTTTAGGCGGCGTAGAGGCCCGCCCTCTCCACCGGAAAGGTCGGGCCTCTCCGCTTTCGAGCTGTGTTAGACCCTCAAATTCAGTACCCTACTTTTTTATGCTGGTTCTAGCTCACGTTCTTGCTTCGATATGTCGTTTTTATATAGGAGCTGTTTATGTGAAAGCAACACAAAAGAAATCCCCGACTAACTGCATGGACTTTACCGGCCCACCTCCCACCTGCTCGAACTTCTGGTCGTACGTGCCTTCCAGTGTCCACTCCGGCCAATGCTTGTTGATCATCTCGGGCTGTGCTGCTTCCGGTGCACGCCTGATGCCTGCCAGGATCTCTGCGACATGGGTGCTGTTCACTAGGGGGAGCTCCTTCTCGAAGAAGGGTCCAGACGTTCTCAGAGGCTTGTCGTACGAGATAATCTTCTCGATCGCATTCCCCAGAAGCCATACGAGCAGGAGCATGTTTTGATGACCTGCAAATCTTCCCCTGCATGTTTCTGGCTCGTTCGTCGAATTCGCTTGGCAGGAGCTGGGTTCTCTTGAGCAGGGACTCTGTTCTCTTGAGCAGGGACTCTGTTCTCCGTGCCTTGTTTTGAAGAATCGCAAGCTCTCTATGTCATTCTGCACTTCCTTCTTCTCATCAGCAGCTCCGCGATCTCATTTTTCAAGGTCGTCATGGTGCCGAGCTGCTGCCGGATAATCTCGGAGTTATGCTAGATTGTTGTATTCTGTTTGCTCTCCGATCTGGCCTTCTGGCACTGCTGAAGTGTCTCCAGCAGTTTCTGAGCTCCCTGTGCATCGCTCTCGCCCGAAGTAGCTGCTCGAATCGCACCTGTGGCCCAATCATTCACCACCTGGCTCTCTGCTGCGACTTCCCGCAATCCTTCAGAGTTGCCAGAGCTGTTCATGTTTGGACAATCCAGTGAGCGCTCGAAGCAACACGACATACTTGAACCAAAATGGGCTTTGGGCTTTGGCTATCCGTGATACTTTCACACGCACTCCGAACGAGGGTCCTGCAACACCAGACCAGTGCAAACCAGGCCACTGCTCCGTGTTCGAAGCGCAGCTGCTGGTACAGCTGTGGAAATCGGACCTCGTGGCATTTCCGAAGACACGGCACATGACGATGCGATGCGCTTAATTGAAGCCGATGTGCGTCGTAGCAAACAGTCACGCCCAGCTTGCCGACAGCGCTGTCGCAGGCGACCACGTCCGCGCCCGGCACGGTCTGCTTGGACTCCACCAAGCCGGTGAATGGAGCATCGAAGAGATGGATCTTGCCTGCAGGAGGAAACCCCGGCCCCAAGGTGCCGGACAGCTAACCCTCGACCGGTGCACGCCAAGGAACGGTAGACCGACACCATCTCACCCTCAGAGTTGAGGATCACGTGAGTGTTTAGAATCTTGTTCTCCTCGGCGAAAGAACATACTGCCATGCCCGAATCCCGAGAAGCTGGAGTGCTCTGCCAGCAAGTCTCGGGCTCGCCCTCCACCTTCTCTTGGAAGCCTGCGGCCGGTGCAAACACGACTCGCGGACCCTCACGACCTGAACTCTTGCGGGTTTGGAGGATGCGGACGCCTCCCAGCGACAGCCAGACCTGCTGCTCTTTGGCCAGGGCGGCATAGCCTTGGCATGCAAAGGCTCGGCTCTCTTCTCAGGCTTCGCACTGAGCGGAAACTGTGGCGAAAGATGGGGGGCCCCTTCTCCAAAGCTCTCACAGCTGCTCCAAGCAAGGCAAAAGCCACCCCGCACCCCCTGACAGCCAAGTGGCGGCCCATGGTGGGCCCGGACAGCGGCTCCGCTGCTTCCTGCGCCTCCCAACAGAGCGCTGCTAGGCCTTCGGAGAGCTACCCGCGTTCTGCCATACTATGCCCAACAGGGCAGCGCACAGCTTCCCGCGCACCTCGCCGGCCTTGGCCCCGATGAAGGCGAAGCACTCGGGCAGCGCCACGAGCTGGCAGCCCTTCAGGAAAGCACCACGGGCTAAGCCGCCGATGCTGATACCCCATTGATACTGCAAAATCGGCGGTCCTGCGAAGCCGCCTCGGTCACCAGCTGCTTGCAGGTGTGGAAGTTGGCCTCCTTGTCGTTCCGCGCCGTCATTTGGCACAGGCCCACCTGGCTCTTGGTGCAGCTCCTAGGAAGTAGAGTACAATGTTGAGATCAACAGACCGTGACTGCCGACGGCCGCTGCCTTCAAGGTCTTCTTCCCGGAGGTCGCTGCCTCATCACTTGCACTTGGACTCTCGGAAGACCGCTTGTTTTGCAACGAAGCCCACGAAGCTCGACTGCAGCAAGGTCCCAAGAACCTGACGGGTCCTGTCCCCAGATTCTCGAGGCATATTTACTCAACATCACCTGCCAAGCGTCAGCCATGGCGGCTGCGCACCCGCGGGCCAGGCGCAGCGCCGTGGCCGCAAGCGGGCGCCGGCCCGCAGGCTAGCTGAGCTGTGCGGGTGGGCAACTTGCAGTTTCCTAGTGCTTCCACGACGTTGCCCTTACAGCGCCGTCTCCAACTGCTTGCTTGACCTTGCAAACATCTACGTATGCGGTGAGAATCCTTTGGCTGATGCCGGCTCAAGCCTTTCAAGCTGCTTGGAGAGCCACAGAGCACAAACAGTGGCTCAAGCTCATTGAAGGACCTTCTTGGGCGTGACGATGGCTGAACCATGTCGTGTGCCCACCTCCTTTCGCTTCTCCTGCACCACCGGAACTTGCTCTTCGGAGATCCAAAACCACTAAAAAAAAATGTCATGGCAGAAGTGCCGCAGCTTGGCAAGCAAAAGATCCGTAGCCGGCGGCACCTCCTCCTCCGCTTCGGCTGCTTCATGGCTGGCGTTGGCCGCGCGGCGGGCGCTGCGCTCCTTGCGACTGCGGCACAGAGGCGAGGCGGGGCGAGGTGTGGTCGGCGCCTCCGCCAGCCTCGCTTTCTCCTTTTCCACTTCCATGGCACGAAGCTCCCCTGGAAGCAGGAGGCCTGGCAGCCAAAACCGGGCTCCGCGGCACCCATCGCAGCATACGTTGCCGAGTGCGTGGCCTTCCCGTCGACCTGGGACAAACAGCATGATGCTGAGGCCGGCAGAGTTCGGGACAGCTCCGGGCCCGTCCCCCTGTCTCTGTGAGACCCGGCTCTTCAGCGCAGCAGCACGCCGCTCGAAGTCTGCTGCAGCAGAAAGCTGTGCCCAGTCCTGCCAGCAAAATACCTACTTGGGCATCCTGCTTGCTGGTTTGAAGTGTCCTGGATGCAACGCCGATTTTCGGTTTCCAGGGTCGCTCTCTCGTTACATCTCGCTACACACTCCTAAGTGAAGCTCCCCTCGGTCCGCATGGCCCGCTGCAGCAGCACATCGCGGCTCGCCCCTCACACCTCCAAAGCTACATCCGTCAAAGTCCGAGCACACACGATGGGGCTTCCTTGTCACCTTTCACACCCCAACTCAGGTTCACACCTGTACTGCAAGCGGCGAAGACCTGCTGCGTTGCTCTGAAAGTGAGAACAGGCTGAGTCAACGTCTGAATGTCGAGGTCATCGCACTATGTGAAGAACAAGCGCCTGATGTTCCATTCTTCGGAGGGTCGCCATGGCTGCTCCAAGGCGGAAGCTCTCCCGCACCCTTCAGGCAATGCAATATGCCAAGTCCTTCACCAACATCCTGCAAGGATTTCTTTTGGAGGCTTTCCCTGTCTTTGCCAGGTTGACTTGTAGTCTAAGGCTGATCTTGCCTGCGGGCGCCACCCACTGTCTTTGTCAACGGCAGGTGCGGCAGGCGACCAACCCCGGTCCAGGCACTCGCCGTCTTTTTGGCTTGGAAGGGCTGCCGGCATGTGTGTCCGCTCAATGCGCAGCGTTGCCTGGAAGTCTGGCAGTGAATTTGGACTGGCTCCAGGGCCTTGCTGAGGCCCGGGCCTCACAGTGCAGCGAAGACTGGAGGCACCGGCATAACCTGGCTGGGTCATGCAAAAGTCCAAAATGCGTCTCTCGCCACTTCCGCACCGGCGGCTCACAACGGAGACACTGTGCATTGCAGGGCTGACTCGCTGACCCTGAATCAGACTCGGGTGACGCTGAACTCCGCGCACGAAATTGAGCCCGACCCTGGCTCAACCGAACGCCGGTTCAGCCTCCTAGGTCGGCCTTGTTTCGCGTTTTCTTAGTCCCTGCCACGGTCGGGAACCCTGCATTGAGCCGTGTGCGGGCATGCCCGGCGCCGGGGGAGCGAGCATTGGCCCAGTGGCCATCGGCAGGCCCTCGCAGCGGTTGAAGTGAGTGGGGTTGGTGCAAATGGGCGTTCTGCGAGATTCTGCGAGGCTCCCGCAGCCACTGCACCTGGCGGCAGCCGCAGCAAAGTCTGAGCCTCATGCACGATTGGACTCCATGCTGCGCCAAGAAGCGTGCTCGGTGCCCGGCGGCGCTGTGCACGAAGTCCTGCGGATTCCGGATCTCCTGGCATCGGGACGCCCGTCGTCCGAAAGCACCCCCGGAGCTTCGGAGGCCTCCGGCCCTCCCTTGGCATCCATGTCCCAAAGGATGGCGAGCCTGACGTCGACTCCAAGGCCAAGCACCCCGCACGGCACCGCTTCGAACTGCTTCGCACTCGCGAAGAGCAGAGGCTCTGGCGCAAACTGAGGCGGCAGGTTCATGAGAGAGCCACGACAGATGCCGTCCAACTGCGTGCAGGCTGCCATCTCGCATGCATGAATGCTGCCCCTGATGCATCAGCTTCGCAAGCTCACGATCAACAAGGTCGAAACCTCCATACAAGTACATTAGATTACATGCGCCTGAGGAAATCGCTCAAGCATCTGCTGCACCTCAGGCTTCCACCACTTCGAAGATGCAAGACGCTCGAGACCACAGGAAATAGTAGTGGTGCTGCTACTCGATAAACCCTGCGTAGTAAACGTGAACCCTTGTTCCGCTTTCTGTTACGCTCTCCTCCGACTCTGCGCCAAGGGCCAAGGGCCGGGCTGCTTGGGCAGATGGTGGTGGCCATTCCGCCAGACCCACTGTGCGCTTCCTTTGGCTTTTGAAGGTTTGAAAATTTGTGGGTGTAGGATCGTTGAGTGTAAGTAATTCTGTTGATTGAGTTCGGTCGGGGCTATGCAGGCGGCAACAATTTGGGAACCAAGTCTGCAAGCTCTCCAGAAGCCTCTGCTGACAGTAGTGTCTGAGAGTCTACAAAGATACCAACCCCGCGTTCTGAGGCAGAAACGATGCCGATATGGGGACTGCGACATCCGAAACTGGCGTCGCAACTGGCGTGCGGACGATTGAAGCAGCAAGGACAGTTTCCATCAACCCTGAGTACTCTCCCACAGCCGCAACCCGGACTCTGCCCCAGCAACACGGACGAACACCTGCGAGGTCTCGGATCAGCGTCGTCCCGGGCGGAGGCGGCGGCGGCTTGAGGTTGGCCCTGCACGTGCCATGCGCGCTGAACCATGCCGGTTGAAGAGGACGGCCCCAAGTTCAGGCGACTTAGCGCGAGATCGTCTGGGCACCCGGCGGGGGCGCCCCGGGAGGCGGCGGTGGCTCTGTCCTTGCGACAGGTGCACCCAACTGTCTCGACGACTGCAACCGGGCCGGTGTTCGAGTCACGACGCCTACCGCAGATGGTAAGACTCGTGAGCGAAAGCTCGAAAGACAGCGAACCTCAACTCGTGAGCAAGGGATTCCAAAGTCTCAGTTCGCGACACGGCGGTCGCTGCCTACCAGTCAGTTGGAAAGCTGCCAAGGAGGGGGTGCTCGGATGATGGATGCTGAGGTTTACAATATTTTACAATGTACAGACAGTCATGTGCTGTCTGAAGTCCTGCAGTCCTCCATCCAATGATTCTCGTGCTGGCAGGTGCTTGGCATGTCACCCCAGCTCGAAGCGTGACTTAACCCTCGGAGCCCTGGAGCTAGCCGTCAATCGTGTTCCACATTCTGCGGCCCAAACCCGGTTGAATGCGCTTGTAAGTACTTCGTCAGCTACTTGCTGCCCCTCCCCCATCCTCCAACGAAAATCGATGAAAGAAGCCAGCACTTAGGAGGAACTGTTGACCAGTGAGTGATGTCGGGGCAGCTCCACCTGCGACGGCGGCGGCGGCGGGGCCCTGGGACCAGGTCTGCACTGTCCAAACCCCTCCCGATTCTCAGCAACAGCATTGCGCTTCGAAGACCGTGAAGGAGCATATGAGCAGGAACCATGTCACAACGAAACGGATCGCAGGAATTGCAGGCCTCTTTCCATAAGAACCAACAACCACTTCTCGCTCTTGCGCTCTTTTTTCTGCCACTGGCTCGCTCGAGGCTGCCTCTACATGGATCTTGTGGCCTAGCAAGCCTCAGTACCTTCCCCACAGAATTCGCCGCTCACCGTTGCGCGGAAAGAAAATTCCGTGTTGGTGCTAAGACAGCCCGCCTGACACACACGTCTGTCACGAAAGATGGAGATACCATGCGCTTCGACTGCTGCTGGCTGATGCTGCGACTGGCAAGTATATTTCTCTGATTCAAGTTGGATGCGGACTAAGAGATCGGGACACTTTTCGGCCGCGCCTCGCCGTCGGCCATGAAGCAGTAGCCGTCGTCTTTGCCCTTGTCCGTGGTCTTGCTGCAGCATCGTGACGCCTTGGATTCGGAGCCGCGCTGGCCCTCCAAGGCCGAGACGCGGCCCTGGAGGTCCCGGATCATCTTGAGCAGCTGGTCCTTCGCAAATCACAACTCGGTCTTGGGATACTGGATTCCAAGGCGACGGCCTCACAAGCTGTCGCTAGCTTCCGGCTTCGGCCTCCCGCCTGGCTCATGTCCGAGTCTTCCTGCTGCAACCTCGCGGCATCTTCACGAACGGCACCGGCGAAGAAGAGCCCGCAAGCCAACACCGCAGCGGCAAGGCGTGCCATTGGGAACCGGGATGGATCGATCAAGCTGGAGGCAAGTTGGAACCGC